TCATATTTTAGACTTTGCAAATTAAAAAATAAGGATAATTTTGAAATATTTGCCAACTAAAAGGAAGCAAACTGCTACCCTAGTTTTTTATGCACTTTTACTTCCAACTAAAAGCATTTTTAAAATATTTGCCAAACGGCTTTTTTTAAACTAAAGTGCTTTTACTCATTTGGAAGCTCTTTTGGATCTTTCAAAACCACATCAAAATGAGCCCTATTGAGGGTTAGAGTACGACACTTAACCGTGCATGCATGCTGTATTGTATTTTTTGAGGGAAAGAAATTAAATATATGTTGAAGAAAAATATAGAACCAACCAACTCTATGGAGATGTCAAATTAGAATGTCAAATTTCGTTATTATAGTGGATGTGGCAAAATAACATTTTGAAAAGTCTTTTATTCCAACCGAGATGTCATATTAAAATGCTTTTTGATTATTTATAAGATCAAGTGAGTTGGAATTTAATAATAAAATAATCAATAAGTAAAGAAAAATAAAGAAATATGTGAGCCCAACATTAAAATGAAACAACAACAAAATTTGATGTTGCCCTTAAATTTAGCAGCAAAATGGAGAATCTCAATCCATGTAGGATATTGGCCTCTCCTTTGGAACCAAAAAACCACTTTTTTATTGTCAAAATAGTCTATGTAGGATTTTTGACATCTCATTTAGAGATACTCTACAACCATCTCCAAGGAAGATGTCAAATTTTAAACATAAAATTTAAATTTGAAGGCTTATGTGGTTCTTTGATTTTTTTTTTTTTTTAATTTTGTTCTCCAATTGATATTATTTATTACATTGTTTACCTTTCATAATTGTAACTAGCATATGGGCACACACAAAGTGTGAGAAATTTTTTTATTTTTGTTTTTGAAATAGAATGAGAGAGGAAGAGAGTGATAAAGAATGTGGGAGTGAGAAGTTTTTTTTATTTATTTTTATTTTTATTTTTTTCATTCTCTCTAAATTAGAGATATGTTAGGATTACTTGCAGGTGAGACTTAAAAAAAACAACAAAATTCGGTTGTGTAGAATTATATTTTCTGCCCTATATTTCTTATTCATATTCTGTTTTAATTAGATGGTTAAACTGATAATTTCATAGGATTTTGGTTGACAATGAGTTTTTTTATTAATTAGTAGAGATAAGTATTTTAAAACAAAAGGTATGAATAAAAAGAAAATATTAATAGCTAAAAATAGATTTAAAGTTACTGTCAAATTTGACATATCGACAAAATGATCACACATTTGAAAATTGATAGTGAAATAAATTAGTCACTTATGGAGAACAACTTTTTCTATATTGCCTTCGTGTGTACTCCATATTAGCAACTACACAAGTAGTAGAACTAGAACTGAATGAATTGTGTGATGTTCAATCAGTTTTTAGGTGCACGTCTTTATTGTGCGAGGAAAATGATCACAGCATTGGTTTTTTCTTTTCACGTCTGAAAGTCCAAGTTTTGATGAGCCTATTTAATCAAATCCAAGAAAATGCTGAAAATTGTTAAATGAGGTGTCTCACTAGCTTGCTCGTGCTGGAGTTGGTAGTTTTCAGGTGTTAATATGGCTGACGGAACCTCCGGACTTAATTTTTAATGCTTTATTTGAAGATGCATCAAATTAGTTTGTATTTGCTGGGTGATGTGAGGATAGTAAACATTTGTTTATTTGTGCTGGATGCTCTTTTTTCTTTCAAACGGGTTGAAAACTCCGGCAAAGTTTTTATCAAGACCCATGTTAGCACACTATCCACACTTTGTACGTATTCCCCTCTTATCAAAGAATATCGTACTTTCCTTCAAAAAATAGGATCAATCGGAATTTAATGTGAGGCTTAAGACGAAAATATTGTTAAAAAAAGGCCAATTTATTTTATTTTATTTTAGTACCTTAATATGATTTCATTTTCACATGTATATATCAATTTAGGGGTGTAGCTAATTGAAATTTTGAGAGATTTTAATCATTTATATACATTCAGGGGTACTCAATCAAGATTTTAATTGAATCTTTAAAAGTCTAGTCCTATTCAATCATGATTTTAAAAGAGTTTATAACATTCTAGGTGTATTTAATTACAAATTGATTTTTAAAAATTTTAAAAAGTTGGAAAATTAGAGGGAATTAGAGATATTTTGCAGTCTATTTTAAGTATTCTTAAATCTCACCTCCCCCTGAGAGTTTGAGGAGATTCACTCAAAATTTTTATAGAATCTTTAGAAATCAATTGAATGTCATCAAAATCCATGGATTTATAAATTCATTTCAATCCAATAAGAGATTTTATTTTCCTTCTTTCTAATAAAAAATACGATGAATGATGAAAATTTTATGATATATACACTTTCCAAAAGGTTTACTAGACGTTTCTTTTCGTCCTTTTATCAAGTAGTTTTTAACTAATTTACCCCTTAATTTGTACCTTGTCATAGGTTTTCTTGACTTTGATTTTGATCAATTTTCCCGAAACTATTATAAACAGATAAGGTATGGTCATTAACCTTTTGCAAAACAATTTTTTGTTTTCCAGATACAAAAGTAGGTGAAAAATGCGTTTGGCATACTGTTTTGTTAAAATATACTCAAAAAACAATATTTAGCCTAAGTTCTGTAAATCATCAAATTGACCTATTTGGTAATGCTTAAAATTGGTGATGCTAACAAAGGTTGAATTGATCAAGTAGGTATCCTTGATGGACTTGAGCTTTGCCAACAAATAAGATAAACACAAGATTTAAGTGCTTCACCCCTCAAAACTAGGCTACATCCACTGAGTTTCTTGTATAAACTGAGAACTAGGTTACAAGTAGTGCTCGGCTAGAATAGTACAATTATATCTAATTCATCTAACTCATTCTAAGGAGTACTCATCCTCCATATATAGGCCTTCATCTGAATCTCCAGCCTCTAAGTTCGAGTCCATCACTTTCTTTGCATTTAGTGGGCTGAATCCATTGGCTAGACCTGCTAGTTGTCCCTCCGTTCTTTGGCTGACGTGTGGTACAAAAAGACACTAGAGCAGGTTCACTTGTGTTCTTCTTTGGGATGATGTAGTCGAGCACCTTACTCGGCCCTGGAGGTGGTGAGAACTTGTACCCGAGCATCCTACATGTCAATCTTTATGTCCATTCATAGGGCCATGTTCCCTTGTTTCCCGCATGTGGCTTGGAGTTAACGTTTGACTAGACCTCCCCTACTATTCCTGGCGCGTCGTGCCTTAAAGCTGTTAGTGGCCAACTTGCCCTTTGGTGCTCGAAAGACGCTTTATGGGGAAACACTCGGCGTAGTTGCTGACAAGATACTCGGAGACCATGCACCATCTGAAGTGCTCGACTTCACCTTTCCATACTCATTACTCCTTGACTTTCCCTTGGACCTATGTTCTTTTAGGTTTGTTGGGGTTGGAAAGGACCCTTTGTTAACAAGTCATCCAACTCTCTGTCTAAGGGTTCTTTCTTAGGCAAGAAGTTACATGGGCCGGTCAGGGCTTAAGGGTGGTACCTTGGTGTTGTGTTGCCTTCCCATCAGTTGCCAGACTCGTGAGTCAAGAGCTAGTGTTGTCAGGAACATGTGCTTGTTGAGCACATGTTCACCACGAGTTAGTAGCGAAATCAAGGCGTCTACATATTAAAGGCGTGGCATAGGTGTGACCTCCTGGCTCATGAAGTCATTTCACGTGGCCATTGGTGACTACGACTGTGACGTGTACTTGCCAATTCGCTGTGGTGAGTATAGTGGCGAGTCTTCTGGCGATGGCGGCGCTGCGTCAATCTACGACCAACCAAGGCGTGGCGACATGTGACGTCACTGCAATGATGCGATGATATGTGGTGGTGTGTGAAGTGGCGTACATCGACCTGAGACCTAATCTAAAGTTATTCGATGTCCTGAATCACATGGTGCTCTCCGTTTGTGCAAATTTGGAGTCGTTTATCACGTTTGAGTTAAAGAATCTTAAAATTTACTTAGTTAATTACTAAAGCAATGTTTTTCAAGTGCAAGCTTGAGCAACCTAAATAAATGCAATGCGCCTATTGAAGAGTGACACTTAGAATTTCTATGAATATAGCCCTGCAACTCACACTTTTTTCGATTAAACTGTGTTGATGAAATTAACTATTTTAACATAGTCTTTGATGAGACTTGAATAGAAATTTGTTAGATAACCATATGATTGATTTACTTATATTGGTGATTTATTTTCACCGCATGATGTTTTATATATCAAGTATACCCATATGATATTTGCATGTGATATAATATTTCTTGTATAGGCTAGGTTTTCTTGTAGATGCTAGCTATGCATAGATAGATAGTCCATGTACACTTGAATGTTTTACTCTTCTAGTACATGCTAGTAATATGCTCGGATTCTAATTGATGATATAAATGTGATTTTCTTTAACTATATATTGTAGTAGATACTAGTATGTAGTTTTTAAACTGCATGAGTTTTTCAAAATGGAGGTTAGTATGTTTGAAATGATTTTGACTAGACAAATGAATATGATCCACTCACAGTTTGTTTTTCTCTTTTTCATAACCTAGTGAGCACAATGCGACATTTAAGAACGAGTTGGCGTGGTAGTAGTGCAATCTTCCTACTGAGTGGGGTGATTCTCCTTCTGCTATGTTATTTATCTAGTTTTACAATAATGCATGATTAAACTTTCGACTATGCTTGTACAACACATACTTTTGTAATAATTATTGTATGCACTACAGTTATGCTCTAATTAAACTGATGTGATAATAATTGGGTTGAGCCCTAATGTGTCCCCAAGTGGGGAAGTTGTGTGGTGACTTGTAGGGGTGGGTTCAAAAAACTGAAAACCGAAAAAAACCGAAAACCAAACCGAACCGAATCTGGCTGGTTTGGTTTTGATTTTTGAGGTCCGAAAACCGAACCGAACAAAAAAAAATATATATATATATATAAACTAAACCGAACCGAATCTGGCTGGTTTGGTTTCGATTTTTGAGGTCCGAAAACCGAACCGAACAAAAAAAAAAAAAATATATATATATATATATATATATATATATAAATACTTAAAAACATGTTGGCGTAAGGGTTTAAACCCCTTCCCTCCGGTTGGTATAATTGCATCAAGCCCACTTAACTATAGGCCTTGTGTTGTTACGGTTGTACTAGTAAAATATTTATAGGTTTCTAATATTTAATACTTTATAAGTTTTCTTAAGTCTATAAACCCTAGCCGTCACTCACTCCTCCCATTTCAGTTTTCATGTTTTCTTACTCTCGCTCCCCTTCGCAGCTTTCTTCCTTTCTCTCTGCTTCCTCAATCACTCTCTCCCCTTCATCTCTTCCTCTAAGTCACTCTTTCTCCAGTCTTGAGTCTTCTCCTGTCCTCCTCACGGATTCCTTCTTCCAAACCATAATTTTCCCTCGCCCCTTTCAAATCGGAAGCAGAGGAGGATGGCAAAGGGAGTTCGATTACTTCAACTGGCTCTAACGCAGAGGGAGTTTGATTTCTTCCTTAGTTTAACTATTAATTTAAAAAAAGATTGATTTTTTTTCGTTTTGATTGATTTTAATTTGGTAAATTAGGTTAAGTTTTCTGTTTTAGGTTTTGGTTTCTAAATTAGTTTTGCTACGGTTGGGTCTTTCTTGTTTCAGCTCAAATGCTCCAACCGTGTTTACTACTGTTGGTTTCTGAATTCGTTTTAGTTGATGTTTTTTCATTTTGGTTGATTTTAATTTGGTAAGTATTAAGCTTTTGTATAATATTGTGTAATGCAGAGATGAAAATTGAAAAGCATGAGTTAAGTTGACTTCTCGGTTAAAGTTCAAATATGTTGATTAGGGCATGTTACATGTTGATCTCTCACTGAGGAATGAGGATGCTCAAGGCAGGGAAGTATGTAAGATTCAAGCTCTAGATGTTAAAAAAAAAAGATTAAAAAAATTATGGAAAACCGAACCGGACCGAAACCGAACTGAAAAAAACCAAAATTTTTTTGAACCGAACCAAACCAAAATTTTGGTTTAGTTTCGGTTTTGGCAAAAAACCGAACTGTTTCAAACCGAACCCAGCCCTAGTGACTTGTTGGATAGTTTTAGTAATTAATAATGAGATGTTTAGTTCAAATTGGTTCACATTAATATCCTTATGGCTTCATCGTTGGATTGGTGGTATTTCGTCACCATCATACTCTAATAATGAGATGTTTAGTGGGGAGGTTGCTTGCCATTAATATCCTTATGGCTCGGTCACCATCATTCGCACTTCTCAACCACCATTTTCACAACCATCTCTCATAACCATTGTTAACACAACCATCTTCTACCATCATTGTAGTCCTCGCCACCACCATCACTCCCTCCACCATTGCCTCTACCCTGTTATTGCCACCACATATATCTCCCCATTATTACTAGTACTCCAACCACAATTTCTACCAACATCACTCTATTCTCAGCCACAACATCCCTACCGTTTTCAATGTTTTATTATCTAAAATCATTCTCGGACTAAATTACCAAACACATTTTCAAATCATAAAAAATAAAAAATTGTATTCGTCATTTTTGTTTTACAAAACAGTTTTTCGAAAATTATTTTGTCACTGACACAAAATTGGACCCTAAAGAGATGTCAATGAACTATTGTCAATTTGTAGCTCGACTAATGAATTTATAGTCAAGGACACACGCCGGACCCCTAGTCACCACGTCTACATCATCACCCACCGCTGTACAACCCTAGCTATTGCTAGATTAATACTACTACACGAGAAGTGTCATACGCTCAACTATAACTACCTTACCTTGCCTCCCTTTCGATGAACATTTTTTTCTCAAAGAGTAGTAGTCCAATTAAGATTCCATATATATGGGAAGAGCACCGTGCTGTGAGAAACTTGGTCTCAAAAGAGGAAAATGGACAGCTGAAGAAGATGAAATCTTGACCAAATACATTCACGCTCATGGAGAAGGTTCTTGGAGATCTTTGCCAAAGAATGCGGGTTCGTGTTTATATTAAACATGTGCGCGCGCACACACATATATACAGTAGCTAGCTAACCTTCAAATATGGTAAGACAATAAGACCCTTAATTTATGTGTATACATTTGGTTTTTCGTTTGTTTTTTTGTTTTTTGTTTTTGAAGGATTGCTGAGGTGTGGGAAGAGTTGCAGACTGAGGTGGATAAATTATCTGAGGGCTGAATTAAAGAGAGGGAACTTCACTGCTGAGGAGGAAGAAACCATTGTTAAGCTACACAGGGCTTTGGGTAATAGGTATGTCTATGTTCCTCGGTTTCATAATTTATATAATTAAGTGCTTCCACTATGAATTTCACTATACATAATACCTACAAGTATAGAAGTCATGGATAAATATAGATACACATATATTTGTATATGTGTGTGCGTGCGCGTGTGTGCGTGCGTGCGTGCGCGCGCGCGTGCGTGCGTGTATAATTCATTGATTGATTCTTAAGTTTGAGAGTTCTAGGGCAATATTTTATAAATAATTGGACCCATTTTCAACTTGGTCATGCTTGCAGCAAGATTAATTCAAGCTCTAGCATTTGTGTTGATTGGAAATCTGATTAAAAAACAACTCATATTTATTAAAATTCTGCTAACAATGTTAATTCGATCTACTTAATGTCTGGATTTTGATGGGAACAATGTTAATTCGATCTTCTTAATGTCTGGATTATTATAGGTGGAAATTGATATGTTTCTTCAAGGGTTCCTCTCAGATAAATTAATTCGAACTACTTAATGTTTATTCGATCTACTTAATATTAGTATTTGATATACCAAAGCTGATATATGTTTCTTCAAGGGTTCCTCTCAGATAAATTAAATTTTGGGCAGCTTAATTATTATTATCGCTCCAGATAGGGGACGAACCTCAAGCATTAGAATTAAAATAATGTCTCAAGTGAAATAAAATCAACTTAAAAAAAAAAAAATCAACTTACGAACTCAATAATGTTTAATAGAAGATTGAATAATGTTTAATTATTAACTTTTGGGCCCCGGGAAATGCACATATTTTACCTTTTTACAAATAACATATCTTAATGTACAAACTTCATATAATCGTTCATCTTCTTAAACTTCATTTAAAGATCATCCTTATAAATTAAAAATATTTTAATTTGGAGATCATTTGGACATTCAAATATATCAAATAAATGGGTGTACGGTTCATCTTGAATATGTTACTTGGTATTCATATCGTTGATTTATTCCATACATTTGGATGACTAAATGGTTTCCGATTTGAATGATTTTTTGTAGAGATATCTTCAAATGAAAATTAAAAATTTGAAAGAAGAGGAATAAGTCCATTCCCCATGGGAGAACACAAACATTATCCTTTAATTAAAACCTAAGTGCTTAATCCTAAACCTTAAAACCGATGCAGTTGATCACATAATTAAGCATAATAACCTTATATTAGAATACAAGTACAAGCTTCTCCAGAAGCTATGGATAATAGTTCTTCCACAAATATAACACTATTGACTGCCATTCAATTTTTCTAGTGTCATAATGTGGGGTTTGCTAACTTAACCTTATGGGGTTTGCTAACTTAACCTTTTGGGATATCCCTAATACTCTTCAAAACACCCTCCAGAGATCTAAACCACTGCTAATTTAGGCAGTTGTACATACTATTATAAATCAGTTTGATTATATATATAAATTGTGAATGCACTGTTGCAGGTGGTCCTTGATTGCCGCTCATTTACCAGGAAGAACAGACAATGGGATCAAAAACTACTGGAACTCTCATTTGAGTCGAAAAATCTACAGCTTTATCAAGCTGGGAAACGAACATCTACCCTCCATTCTCAATGATGTGAAGAAGATAACTTCATGCAATAAACGTTGTAAGGGCGCTCGAGCGAGCAGATCTACCATGAACAACAAGAGCAAGAACAAGAACTTGGCCACATTTAACTCAAGAAAATCAGAAGCAAACCCTCAACTTGGAAACCCTAGCCTACCAACTGGCACCATTATTAATCTAGGGCAAGTGGGTAATGAGGCCAGCAATTTAAGGGGTTTGGAGTCCTGGGACCCAATAAACAATAGAGATGGTGAGGTAATAGGAATGTTGGGGATGCAAAGTTCTTGTTTGGACGGTGCAGAAATGATTAATTTGGATCCTTGCGGTGAGCAGAAAAAAAGTGCACAATTATGCCTTGGGAAAAAAGAAAACAATATTACTAGTAGTTCAACTGCAATATATGGAGATAATGACTGTGAAACGGAGGTTTTGGGGACATCTTGTGAATGTGTAGACACTATGGACCAGAATAATAATATTTTTGAAATTGAAGAGAGAAGAAGTACAGGTATTTGGAGCTCATCAAATGCTGCTGAGAGTGGTGGCGGTGGTGGTGGTGGAGAGTTGTACTCCTTCGCTTCATCAATGAATTCAGGCTTTGATGATGAATGGCTTAATTGGGGTTGGGCAGGTGGTGGCCTTCAATGTCACAATGGTGAATTGGAATAGCGGGATGAAGGGGAGACAATAGCTTGGTTGTGGGGAAATGGCAGTACTGGTGAAGGACGGTAATGTTGATGCTGATGCAAAAAAAGTGGACACGCCAAAATTTAATGTACAAGTTTTGCTTATTCTTCCACAAACTTTCTAATTTATATTTTAGTAGAGAATTACTGGGATGGTTGATTCTGTGACAGGGATTAAGTAGCTGGGTATGGTTTTGTGCAATTAAGAAATGAAAGATTGTACAAGAATAAATCATTGTTAAATTGTTCAAGGTGAGTTGGAACTGGAAAGGCAGAAGTACTAGACTTGTGATCTTGTGTTTTCCAGTTCATTGTGAAGTTTATTCTTTGCTGAACTTTTGGCTGGTTCAAAACATTCATGTTGTACGTGGTTAAAACTAATCATGTTTTGTTTTGTGTGCAAGGATGATCTTTTAATGACAACCTATAAAAAATAATTAGTTTGATAAATTGATCATGAGAAATATTGTAGAGTAACTAGAGGTTACCAAGATATTAATAACTACCTTAATAGGAATTGAGCATATATATACACATATACAAAAATATATACGGGTAAAGTGTTGTTCAATAATTAAAATCGTTTAATTTTTAGATTCTCTTTCAAGGATTATCCATATCAAAAATTTAAATAAATCGATTCGTTTACTGGCATCTCATTTAAACTTTATTTGGTGACCCATGGTTTTTTTTTTTTTTTTTAACATATTTCAGATAACAAGATTTAGATTATCTTTTGCAAAACTGACCCGAGAGTCTAAAATAAAGACATACTTACGTAAAAATACTGTAGATATAATAGCACTTTGTCCTCGTATATTTGGATTTTGGAGAGACCATCCAGCCCCCACTTTTCAAGAAATTTCAAATCAATGTTATGCTATTTGTCCATCTTAAATACTTTACCAACTCTGCCATCTCCATCATGCATGAGAGAGGAAGATTAATGGCTCTTTTATTATTGTGATCGTTCCACCCTCACTATTCATATGACTATATTCTCCTTGTTATAGCAACCAATTTAATCACTTTTATTACAAGTCACTATCTTTTGCTCGACCAACTTCATGTTTCATTCAAGGAAAAGAAATAACATCTGCAGATCTTTCTGCAACTGCCAACTACACAAAGTCCTTTTTGGAATACTCCATATTTCCAGAAGTATACAGTTAGCGTGGAGTAACATGAATCGCAAAGTCTTTTAACAAGAAAATATGAGATCACTACTCACCAATCATCGTTGTGTGATGGATATTACACACATATGAGAGACTCACTCGTCTTATTATGCCCATAGTGTATTAGATTCTAGTATACATACCACAGCTTTTGGTCCGGTGGTACTTTATCTTCCAAAAGTTGGAAGAGGGTAAGTGCAAATCCCCCTCTGCCACATATCCATTTTCCATCTTTCTTATTTGCCTTCCTTTTTACCTTAGGGTAAAGGTAGAAACTTCACTAAGTCAACAACATTCACTATGCTATGTTACTAGGGGCTAACCTCTGGCCAATCTGACATGACACTGTTCACCATCAGATAAATTTTCGTTGGATGAGAATGACATAGTCAATATATTAAATCACACTCTTTCAACTAATCTATTAAGAGAAATATATATATATTGATCAAACTTATAATCACACCTCTCCATCTTAAGTTCAATTTATATTATTTCGGCACAGAACCTAATTCGAAAGTTCAAGTTCTGATGAACAAGAGAAACATAGCCAAATATATAAATAAACCAATAAACCTGAATACTAACGAGTATCCAAATACAACAAGATCGCAAGAGATCAGTCATATGCAGGAACCTAATAACACAGGTATTACAATTGCAAGATATCAGCAACAACTTCATCTACCAAAGAATCAAATATTTGACCCTCAACCTCTACTCCTAGTGCAAATACATCGGTTTCGAAGTCCAGCCATCTGCCATAGGGGCTGCTCATGTCCTTGTCCACGAGCTCGTCCACCATGCAATCCCACATGCCTCTCCAACCTGAGAGTTCCTTGTACACTTCTTCGGCTAAAGATGCCTTTCGCCTCACCATTGCTACTCCTTTCATCCATGAACTGTATCCCCCGCCCACATAACGCCTACATCTCAAATCCAAGCATTCATTTGTACAATCAAACAGTTCCTTTCGCCTTAGCCTGGACTCGCCGCCATCAATTTCAAACTGTCCTCTTCGACACTCCAGCAGATTGAAGAGATGAGGGTTTATGATCTCCCTAGCCCGGCCCAATGAGAAGTCTTTAAACATCAATTCCACATTACATAGTGTCTCCTTTAAATATTGCAACTCCCACTCATTTGATCTCAAAGATTCTTTTATGTGAACCGTAGCTGTATGGTTTCTTGCCACAGTTCCTATAGATGTTGAGGAAGCAGAATCCGATAACTCGGTGTCAACTTCAACGGAATGAAACTTCTTGGAAGAACTGAAAACATTAACTTCTTGAGCTTGAATGGATGAACACAACCTGCTTACTGAAGAAACGAAAAAATTGTGCTCAGGCAACCTAAATAAGACACATTTCAAAATTTAAAAGAGTGGAAAGAAAATATAAAAAATATATAAGCGTCATATACCTTCTGTACTGTTACTATCAGTGCTAATTGAAGAATCATAACTTTCAGTTGAAAAAGAAGGTTCCAGAACAGAGACTGGACTAGGATGCCGCAAACTCTGCATCTGTCCAGCTTCAATAGGACTGCTGCTATATTCGTCTGCCTTATCAACTCCCTGAAAATGTTGAATTTGTGTCAGCTATAGTCAGATCAACATTGCTAAGTTATACTACTAGTAATTTTGTAACTTTGTGAGAAAAGGGTAAAAAGAAGGGGGGCAATTCCATATAAAGTGACCAGCATTATAATTTATCAATAGAATTAGCTTGTGATAGTGACACTGACAGTCGGACCTACCTGAAACTTCTGTTTCAATGTGAATGCAGGAGTGTCAGCTTCATATCGGTCACCCAGTTTCTCTGTAACCAATAGATGTTGATCGCTCCGCTCATTTAACCTTTGCACGGAGCTAACTGAATTAAAATTGGGTTTCACATCCAAATTTGAAGCAGTTGAAGCTGAGCATACTTTTGCGGATTCATGACTAGAAGATTTACTCCCATAAGATAATTCCCTTAATTTTTGTTCCAAAAGTGCACTCAAAGCATCACTGGCTATCACATTGTAACCCACCAAAGATGGCTTCATACTGTCTGTGTCAAGCAACAACCGTTTACCTCGGTGATCTGTGCAAAGACTGTTGCTCTTCTGCCCAACCAGAGCTGAGATGTCAGTCCCAGTCAGTGATCGTGTAAGTGGGGCTGTGAATGTAAAAGAAACAACATCCATGCCTTTCTTTCTGCTATCTTCAGCCCAACTATAGTGCCTGTCAATAACTGGATTCGACTGGACTGACTGCTGATTTTTGTCACTCAACATATCATCAACAGCACTATCTTTATTAAATTGAAAGTTTCCATCTATTGATCGTTTCTTCCTAGGATAATTCCTTTTGTTCGAGTAGGACACTTCCTTTTCACTATCCATTGCCTCTGAGCCCAACTTCCTGGATCCAATTTTGGAATTTCCACTACTTCGAACTGAGCTTTTGTGACGACCAGAAGAAGAATCCCCAGACAGCACTTTTCTACCCTGTGAGTTGGAAACCAAAGGCTTTGAAGGTAATTTCTCTTTATCAACTACGCCATTTTGTTTCTGATTATTCTGCTTAAGAGCACCTGAAGCATTATGTGTAGAAGGTTTCTTATGCAAATTCAAATTCTTTTGAACATTTGCTTGGCTCCGGAAAGGCTGGTTTGAGATGACCTCATTCTGTTCTCTCTGACCTACCGAGCTTCTATTTCTACTTATATTCTGACCTCTTTTCTGAACATTGACCTTTGCTTGGATTGCAAGAGAAATGGACTTCCCCCTACTTTCTTCTGTCTCTGAAGAAGACCTGAATGACAAGTCAAGAGATCCATTCCAGCTCTTATTCAAAGACTGTCCCTTAAGAGACTTAGCAGCATTTGACTCAACAGGCTTACGGGACACTTCAAAAGGCCTCGTTTTCTTGTAAGCAGCTTCAACTTTATCTTTTAAATCTCGATCTTTCAAGGTTTCTGAAGAAGACCCAACCAGTGGAACTTTTCGGGATGCCTCCATCTTTTCTTTGAGAGCCTGAACCTTCAAGGGCTCTGAAGAGGCCCCTACTAAAGGCATTTTGGCCTTGGCGGTAGCTGGAGGTCCAGGCTCAATAATTTTTGCAGCAGCTTCCATTATGTGAGCAGCATTCTTAGTGGAAATAAAGCCAGGGTTCTTAATGGGAGACAAAAGTTTATGGTGTGTGATCGGTATAGACTTAGCTGATCTAGGCGGCAATGTTTCAGTCTGAAACCTCTCAATTGGCCTGTTTTGCATCTTTGGGGGATTTGACTTCAAAGAATTCCTGGTAGGGCGCTCCATACTTTTTATGAGATTTCCAGAATACTGTAACTGAAGGTCGTGAGAGCACTCAATGTTTCTCCTGTGGTGATGAGCATCTTGGAGAGATTGACTGTCAAAATATGGGGTAGAGTAGGGCTCAGAAAAACTGGATGTGGGTAAGAAGTCTAATCCCATAAGCCTGGCTACTACACTAGGGGCTTTCGCTCCAAATCCTTCTTCATCTGTAACTGATGAAGCACAACTATAATCGCTGCTACCTCTGACACTTGAAACTACCCCAGTTTCATCCTCATCGACCTAGAAATATAACAAGGATTGAAGATAGTATTAGATTCAAATCCCATATCAAAATGGTCTAAAGAAATAAGCAGTCCTAGAACACTGACCACCAGATGCTGTTGCGTCACTGGCGAGTTCCCCTGGCTTTTCTTTCCTCCTTTTGAGCGTTCTAAATAAAAAAGAGGAAGAAATCAAAATTCAAAACAACCACCCATGAAATAGGAGAATGATACAAGACCATAAGTGACAAACATTGATACATATGCTGATACAATAAAACTGTACCTGGTGAATCTGACTTGCCAGAGAATAATGTTTTTCGAGATTTTGCAGTCCAGTCAAACAGCTGAAAGAAACCGCCCACATGACCTGCTCCGCTTTTCGAACCTTCTCTCTCAACTCCCATTTTTCTAATGCAAAAATTAAGAATACCTTAACAGTTAAGTAAAAGAATCAAGGAGGAAGACAATTTCTATTCCACTTTATCAGAACAAAATAATTTTTTGAAACGTAACAAGTAGGACATATCCCATAAAAATGGTAATTAGCACGGAAGTCCTAAGCAATAGAAAAGACTACATGGTTCACAACAAATCTCCACTTAATTTTGATGTTGTTTCATGATTAAGGAAAACCATCTTTTTCTTAGTAAGTCAAA